CCGGACTTGGTGCGTTTCTCTAAGTCTTCCTGCCAATATGAACATGTTGCGAAAAGAAGGTCAAACAACGTCTGTAACCTGAACCTATTTGTCTCTAACATAGACTTTTTCATTCGTTCTTACTAAAAGTCTAGCATCAACTTCATAAACGCCTTGTCTTTATTCATAGTTCCTAGGTTCCGAGACTATCTATGGATCTCTAAGACGAGTTGCAATCCTCCTAGCTGACATGGGGTGATGAGCAAGTTCGCGTTACATTTTCCAATAATAATACGATGTCATAGAAACCCTATTATCCTTGCCTCCAGGAAGTCTTTTGCATTCACACTGGACTGCTGATGCGGTCTCGCCTGGGTCTTATTGGCATTCCAAAGGATAACCGAACCCGGCAAATGCAGTGTGTATTTTCTAGATAGTATCGTTAGGCCTTATTGTATCACGGCAAACATGAAATTGCAAGCAATCAGGGTATTTCCCATATCATAATTTTTGTAGCGGGATTATCGATGATGCAAACTTTTAATGTGTCATTACAATAAGCTAACTTACTTTTATTCATATTAAGTCGGTTTCAATACAATCAATAGATGGTAAACAAGAGTTGTACTCTGTTTATGCGAATTCGCGCATTCAGGGCCAGTTTTAGTGGATGATGCGTATCTTTGAGTATTAAGTATTGTTTTCGTGACTACCAGTAAATCAGTAATATGAGGTGTATTAAGCCAATTTCGTTTAAGGTGATGAAGGACTAGTAGAAGAAGAATTTTCCCACAATGAGCTGACGTTTCCATTCAATTACATTTAGCCTTGCTTTCCCAAAAGTTGTTTTCATCTAGGCACCAGTGGACTGCCAGTCCTTCATCATCTTAAACGAAATTGGGTGAATGTATCTCATATCTTTCAGTAGTCACAACCAACTTGCAGCTCACTGGCATAAGAAGAATGTTGTCGGCTGTTACTTGCTTGCCTCCTGAACTCAATCTGCCTTCGAGTCCCACAGGAGAGAGCGTTTAAACCTGTATTTAAAATAAACTGTCATTAAATGTTAACTATAAGTTTTTTTCTGTTATTCTTTTAAGTAATTAGATTACTATTGTTTCTACCTCTAAGCAACCACAAGTATTTCCTTTATATACGGAATCCATTATTCTGAAACATCGAGCAACAGATCGCATAACATGGCTTTGCTTTTGATCTACGTTGCTAAAATCACATTATAAAATGGCATATTGCCTTAGTGATGTTCTAATGTACTATAGCTCCAGATCTGAATTTTTGTAATGCATTTATCCTTAATCATTCACGTCCTTACCGTATCTAAGTGAACACTCTTGTCACACTCCTCTCTTTTTCGTATCTAGTGCCGCTCACACTAAAGAGGTACGGGATCTTCGCCACCATCTCCATGAGTTAGAGATGACACGTGAACAGGCCTTGAAGGAAGTTAACGAACTACAGCTTCAGACCCGCTTGGCGGAAGAGGCCCGTGATTTGAGTCGTGCAGAGCTACATGAGACAGTCCTCCGTCTCAAAGACAGTATGCCGGTTGATTTGATCAAACTAACCTCTCTTTTTGGGTTTTTTGTACAAATACTATTAATGGCTCATTAAGGATTGGTTTTACCATGGAGTATGACCAAAGATTTACTTATGCATTTTGAAAACACCCCAAAATATAATACTATTATATATATATATATCCATCATTATCAATATTATTATTTTTATATTTCTTATTATACAGTAACTAGATATATCTTTCTATCTGTTACCTACTTATGAAATATAAGGTCTATTTGTTTGTATTAGTTTTATACTTTGGGCTTGGGGCTTTACTAGTTACTTTTAACAGTCCCCATACTCGGTTCAGTAAAACAAACATTTTAAAGGCGTGCATTTTTTTGAGTTCTCCCAACTCTTGAGTTTTACTTATCGAATTGTTAGAATTATACTTTTGTAAATTTTCAACTTTTCAAGTCCTGAAACTTCCTATATTGGATAAATAAATAATAAAATGCATTCATTTAATTAGTGGAAGAAATTCGCGACACAAATAGAAGAGACATCACTGAACTGAAGCGCCGCATAGCTGAGTTAGAACGGGAACGTTCTACACTGGAGACCTCGAATTCGGATCTCAGGCGGCAACTTAAAGAGGTATATGGGATTGGCTAAAGTGTAACAGTAAAAACTTTCAATTTTTCTTATTTGTTCATCAGTATTCATGAATCCATTCACTTCAAACAACTCGAGAAAGAAAAAAAGTCAAGCTTTCAATCTATTTGCTAATGTATTTTGCAGTTAGTTGTATCGGTGAGGTCCCTGAAGAATCCATTATTTTAGTCTGGGGGTGCGGTTAAGTCATTAAATGCAAATTTCGTATTCTTATCGGAAAAGATTAGCATGCGATAAAGTGGCTAATATGAGGATAAGATTGGTGGCGATCACAATCAGGTCTAAACTGGTTTTGAGTTGAGTCTACACTGAGCATTTGTGCATTCTCCGCCAGCTTACACTGTAGGCCCTTAGCACCTTATCACCCATGCCTATATCAGCGTAGTGTCTGGACTAAATATTGTATAGGGCCATTATTATATGGAGCTACTTATTGCCTTGGCAACACTTGGTAATATAATTTGGTTTATTTGGATAATGGACTTTGCTTACAACTAAGCATTGCTGCGAAACTCCTGAGAAACTGCTGTCACTTCTCCCTAAGGCATCTGTCTTACGATCTTGTTTATGTGCATGGTTTAGCATTATTACTCAATTTAACTTGAAAGCCAATCTCTCCTCATATATCTTACTATTATACTTTTTCAATATATTTTTACGAGTTCAAATGGGTTTGAAAACTCAGGAGTAATTCTTACTATGTAAAATGACGAGGAACTTGATTGAATTAAGATTTGAGCCATTTACAATAAGTGGGTACGGAGAGTTTACCATGATGTTGTTTGGTCGGATGTGATAAAGTGATCAAATGCGCAATCGTTAGTGAATTCATTGCAGGAGATTTTCAATTCTGGGACACTTGGACTCTACAAATCTCAGCTTTGTATATATATATAGTTTATTTTCTATTTATACATATATATGCACACAAACATTATCATAGTAAAATATCACCTACATTTTATTGTAACTATACCAGGCTTTTAATCATTTGAAGTAGGCAGGGATATATATATATATATATATATGAATACTCAACTTTTATTAGTTGGAATTATGCAGGATACTGATTACTTTAACCATTTGTTACTCCATTACTTTCGTCTTGCATGAGGCGTGTGATTGTCTCTTATCTTTGTACTCCTTCTCCATTGTATATGCATTCTAGTTTTTTGTTGAATCACCTTTCAGTTCGTTTGAAGAGGCGAGTGAAAGGGATTCGTAAGTTGGTTCCACCGGAGGCCGTGGGTGGTTGCCTTGTGGTTGTAGCTTTGTGTGAATTGGTCCTCGGCGCATCGCCCTGCCTCCTCGATCAATCCTTGCTGAGTTTTCGTATGTCATGTGACGGACATCGTCAGAGCAGGGCACCATGTTTGACGATAATTCACGAAAAACATGAAGGCAAGAACGGTGGCCGGCTTCAAGCCTACTTTCTTTTTATAGCCCAATTTGGTCCACTTAATTAGGCATCTCATGTTTTGGTTGGATGTCCTATGCTTTGTCTCTATATTTGTTCATAAGTTGAGCTAAGTGGCTGCGGATGACATGTGAAGTGGCTACAGATGAGGCGTGAAATGGGCACAATTAAAACC